AAAGCTTTCTAGTATTTATATTAAATTTTTTAAAAATTGACTTTGAGATCATAAGAACTTCATTTTTAACAAATTAAGTTGAGACAAATCCAAAGATATGAAGAATGTTTGGATATGGGTCCAACTATATCTAATTATTGCGTGCTAGAAAATTTGAGTAGGTGGAGTATATATTTCACGTCTTAGCAGTGTACAAAGATTCAACACTAACCTATAAAAATTGTAAGACCAGATAACTTTTTACGTGAAAAACCTAGAAAGGAAAAAACAAACATGGCGCCTAGCCCAATTGCAAAATCCACTATGTAGTAAGTGATACAATGATATTCCCTTCTTCACTATTGAAGAAAGGGAATAGTACACAAATCAAATATATACAGACAACAACAAGGTTTAATCTTTCGAGAATAAATTTTAGAAAGTAAGTGTCATTAGGCGGACAAATAAATCCAACAACATTGTTAAATCTTGATAATATTCTGAAGAAGATGATGGTTGCTGATGGTAGTAACTGATGGTTGTTAGTAGCAATAGCTGGTGGTTATTAGTGACAATAGCTGGAGGTTGTTGGCAGCAATAGCTGGTGGTCGTCGATAGTAATAGATGGCGGTCATCGACAACGATGATGGCTGGAAAATGTTAGAGAGCTTTTCCTTTCTCTCCTTTTTCTTCTCTTCTTTTCTTTCATTTGAAGAATGTGGATCTATTTATAATTTTTGGAGTGACATGCTCAGTAAATATGGAGAAAATATAAGATAAATTTGGAGTGTTATATCGGATGGATGGCTCATAGTGATTCATTTGATCATGAAACTTTCATCAAGCATGTAAATGCCTTAATGATGTCAAAATTGAGTGATCTTGGGCTCATTGATTTGTCTCATTGAGCCGCTTGATTCGACTATAAGCATGTCATGTTAGGATAATAATTTGTCATCCAATTAACACTTTTAAGCTTTCAAATAAGCTTCAATCCTTTGATTCGAGCCCATTTGAACTCGAATTAGACTGATTTTGGTGTCATTGAGTTTGTCTTATTGAAACATTCAGTTTGATAATAAGTTTCCTGAGATCGGTATTCAAATGATCACAAATTAATTTTTTGACTATTTCTAATTCAAATATAAATCGATATTCGTGCCAGATCAATGTAATTTTTGGTTATGTATCACTAATATGTCATTGAAGATTGCCTTGGCTAGGTCCGAATCTAATGCATGTTGAAATCATAAACTTTCAGAATTAAATTCACGATCATTTGAATTATGATTTCAACAAGTTTATAATCAAATTGAACATCTCAACGAGACAAACCCAACGATACCAAAAGTGATCTAATTTGAGTCTAAATGAGCCTAGATCAAGCACTTGAAACATGATTGAAAACTTCAAAATGTTAATTGGATGATAAAACAATCTTTAAATATTGTATGCTTATATTCAATCAAGCGTCTCGACGAGACTAATCCAACAAGCGCAATATCCTTTAATTCTGACGTCATTAAGACATTTCAATGCTAAAAGAACAACCAATGATCGATAGAACTAATATGGACCTTCTCACAGAGCATTCTAGATTTTGGCATTATTTACGGGTCAAGTCACTCTCAAAATCTAACTAGGCTCAAACTCTCCAAAAGAAGGGGAAATGGTGCTTAGCGTTTAGACTTGGGCTTGAGATTCAAGAGAGCTTAAAGGCTCTAAGAATCTCAAAGCTCCACTCAAGCACTACTACTAGGGAAACATCAAATTGTTACCACTGGATCAATGTTTGACAGCTGTGTCAGACCACCGTCTGATAGTTTTTGTAGGTATACCACCCAATTATCATTGTCAGAACACTATTTTCTGACCATGATCCTCTGATCACTATAGAGCAACCACAGTCCATCGACCTCTGTCATATGAATACAAGTTGATGAATTCCATCTCCCAACTACATACGACCAAGCACCGTCACCCAACTACAAACTGCAAATCACCTTTGCCTCACTATATGTTGCCGACCAACTTCGCCTCACTATGGGATTTCGACCATCCAAATCTTGATATGGTTCTTTCATAACTGATAAAATGGTAGACCAAATTGCCTAGGGCGTTAATGTGAATGACTTTTTTATGTTGCAATAAGGGTTACCCCCTAGCCAAGAATCATTTCCTATAGACAACACCAAACTATTACATGCCAAAAGATTTGTGGTGCTAGAGAGATAGAGTTTAAAATCTTAATTATAATAAAGATCCAACACACATATAAAGAAGAGAAGAGTTGCAAGAGACAACATTTTTTACATGGAAAATTCATAAAGGGTAAAGACATGAGGCCTGGATCAACAGAAATGATTCTACTATTATTTATCCTCGATCACGAATGATGCTCTTTCTATAGGGAAGACAATCGTTCAATGGGGTAAACATGCAATTTATATAATATATTATGCAATGCAAGTTGGAAAAGCCTTGTGCCATGGGAGTTATCTTTACAAGGCCATTTGCTTGGTTTTTTGGTCATGCACCTTCGAGGAGAGGAGAATAAATGCCAACAAGTTTAATACAAATTCTCATGCTAGGATTCATAGTAGCTATCAATGGCATACATTAATCAAATAAATGGTGGGATGTGTTGACATTAATAGCGATGGTAGGTGTTAAGTCAATGTGCTTTGATATAGCTAAAAAATAATGGTCAAAAGATTGTATTACATGGGACTATAATCGAACGACAATGATTAGAGGACCGTAATTTAGCGATAGTGATTAGTGCATCATAGTCAGGTGACAAAGGTCGATGGTCTATAAGATTGTGGTTCGATGATATTGGTCAGAGGATTGTGGTTGGCTATGGTGATGTGAGGATTGTGGTTGGGTGACGGTAATTTAAAAATCGTGGTTGGGTCATGTGATAGTAATCAGGCGAATGTGGTCAGCAGCCCACAATCAGGTGAACGTGGTCGAAGGACTGTGATCAGGCGATGATGATTGAATAACCATGATTGGGAGACAAAAGAACTATGGTCGAGACTTATCCTATAATGATAAAAGGACCAAAGTGAAGACTCATCCTATAATGACAAAAGGACTATAGTTCGAACTTATCATATTAAAAAAGGCAGCTAACTATTTTTCTTGATAGATAGATCCTTCCATTATTATCCTATCTTCATCATCTTTTCCTACTTTTTCTAATTTGGAACCACAAGAAACCAATCATCCATAAACTCTCCCCACTTTATTCCTTCATTGTGTTGAGGTTTCATTATATGATTCTTCTAATATGGAGACTAGGATTGCTTACTCTCAAGCACAGGAAATAAAAATGAGCAGCCCATTTGCCAATTTACACTTTAGATACGCAGATGATAGGTCTACATTTATATAGTAAAAAAGTTTGCTAAGTTGATAAGTCACAAAAAATCGCCTTGTTCCAACATAAATCTTGAGGCATATTCCAGTGAGAAACTTTTAAAGTTAAATGCAGGAACATCCGACTCCAATTTTAGCAAACTTATAATCAAATTAAATGACTTAGTGAGACGAACGAAACAACACAAAAATCAGTTCAATCTGATCCCAGATAGGCCCAAAGCAATGGACTGAAGCATATTTGAAAGCTTCAAAATATTAATTGGATAACCAACTGATTTCCAAATATGGAATGCTTATAGTACAATCGAGCAGTTCAACAAGAAAAATCTAGCGAGCCTAAAATCATTTAATTTTGACATAATTAAGACACTTAAATGCTAAACATATACTCCATGATTGAATGAATCAGTATGGATCGTTCAATGAACCACTATGAATTTATCGTGGATCTTCTTCATATTTATAAAGCCTGTCACTAACAAAAAATTTATAAATAGGTTCATGCTCTCTTCATGAAAAAAACTTTTGGCTAGAAATTGGAGAGAGAGTTCTGATTTGTCAAGAATTCTAGAGTTATACCCAAGCACCACTGCCGGCAAACTTCTATCAATCACCGCCGGATCGCCGCCAATCCACTGAACGTCGCTGGACCACCACCCGTAAGAAATCAATAAAATACAATAAGAAAGCCGTCCCAAATGAAGCCTAAGTCAAAATTTTCATCCAAATCCCTACTATAGAAAGTTAAAAGTTAATTATTCTATTAGTAAAACAAAGATAAACTTACCATTTGCGACCCATGCCGGGTTAAAATTGCAAAAAAATGTGATTCAATATAAGATTTGGATATAAATTCTTAATCAAGAAGGCGGGGCATGTAACTTCCCCCCTTGTTGGTTGCCTTCCTATTTCACTTGTTGGTCGCCTTCTCTATTTGTCTTATGGGGTTGATCTTTTGGGATGGGGCTGTAGGCCCTTTGGTTATTTTTCTGCTAGTTTTTTGTTGGATGTTACACTAAGCTGGCACATTGGTACCTGATTAATTTTACTGTTGGCCGTTGGTTTTTGTCGGATAATGATGTGGCTGGAGCTCACTTCTTAGTCGGTTTGGCTCGTGGCAATCTTTGATGGTGGTTTCTTGCTCGGATGGTTTGGCTGCTTTGTGTTTCTATTCACCAAATTGGATGGACTGCGCTTGGCTTCGGAGATGCTGAAAGCCTCGGCCTTTTACTGAGCCCTTTGGATTAAATCTCCATTGTACTTTCTTTTGCTTTCCTGTCTTTTTGCTCCTTTGCTTTATGTACTCTTTTGGATTTTAATAAATATTTTTAGTTAAAAAAAAAACACTTCAGAAATTATATAATACTTATAAGCAGGACTATATCAACTGCCCAACACGCCTATACAACAGTTGATACTTGATACAACCACTGCTAATTTTAGACGTTAATATCATAACACAATTTTTATTATAATAAAATATGAAAACTACAGCCTGCTTTGGCCATCATAATAAAGTATTTTCTGCATAAGCAAATGGTCATAATTTACAGATCCTCTTCCTAACACAGTATTTTTGGAAGAAAAATGTTAAGAAGACGCTGAAAAAAAGCTCTCTTACCTTACTTGTAACCTTGAAACAAAAACTTGTCATATTCATTTCATAAGCTGCACCAAAAATTCAAGAGAACTCCCAAAACTAATTTTATACACAAAAACAAAAAGGAACGAAATCCAAAAAGAAACAAAGATTAAAAACCATGGTTGCTCTGTAAGACCTGCTCAAACAAGATAGTTCATTCCAACCTCAAGGGTGGAAGCATGTGGTATACTTACAGCATAAGATGGTCCCCTAGAGTTCCTCCTTAAGAAATCATACAAATTAAGAGCAAGCTTCTTCAAGAAACTAGAACCTCCCTTTGCTTTCATGTAAGAGTTTCCCAAGATGAAGGCTAAGCCAGACTCCCTTGCTTCCATCAGGTCTCGAAGCTCATCTCGCACAGTTGTGTCCATCTTTGGGCTCTCAGGCAGCACAAACCTCACCTTTTTTCTCACCATGATCGGAGATTGTATTTCTCGATGCTTGGGAAAGTCGTCGGAGTTCTCGCTCTCATGCTCGACATTCTCCTCCACCTCCCGAAGGCAATGCCGGATGCCGACCACCGCCATTTTCTCATCCTCCTTAGATGATTCTTCTGAGAGATTGTTGATCTCAGTTGAGGAACCATTGGACTGGATGAAAGCTGCAATGCTGCACATAAGGTCCTTTTCAAACTCAATGTCATCTTTGTGGATGTCATGATAGCCATAGCGGGCAATGCAACGGTAGAAACGGTATTCTTTTGGGCCAATCCGGCCGACCAAAAACCGTTCTTCCGGTTGAACATGCGGCACTGGCACGGATTTGATGCAGAGGAAGACGACAACCTGGTGCATTAAGGAGATGAACGGAAACAATGATGCCTGGTAACTTGAGAAAGGAACCGTTTTACACAACTGGTAAGCATAAATGCGCTTATATTAAGCATCATAAATAAAATCACTAGAATATAAATGGGACTTTGACATCAATTTTGAAGTGTATATCTTGTTGAAATTTTATGGAAAAACTGCACTAAGTTGCAACATATCCAAATTGTTTTCAGATTTGAACTGAAATTGCAGACTTTTTTATACTAAATATATGCAGAAGAATGGCTGAAAAATAAATCCATAAGCACTAAGCACCTCCAATCTTCATGAACAAGGCTATGTAATAACACCATCAACAAACCGTTACCATGAAACCAATATTGTAAACAATTTCAAACTAATATGTACATTAAGGCTTCGTTTGGAACGGCTTCTTTATTGCTTTCGAAAATGGCTTTTTACTAAAAAGTTGACGAAGCCTAAGGTTTCGTTTGTGATGACTTTCTTGTTGCTTCTTAAATCAGCTTTCTATTATAAAATTTTTAATTTTTGTACTAAAAAACTGCTTTAAGAAACAACATAAAAGTTGTCACAAACGAATCATAAATTTCACTTTCTATAAGTTTCATCTTAGCTCATCCATATATATTTGCCTAAAATTCAAATGGAAAATGGCAAATTTGTGATGATTATAATTTCATGAAGAAAACATCATGGATGACCTACCTCATGGAATGCAGGGAGGTTGGTGACAAAGTGAGAGAATATAGCAGGTATTCCAGAAACTAGCTCAGTATGAATAAGACCAACGCCTCGAACACGTACAAGCCCGAGTGTTGGGCCAAGACTTAGGAGCCAATTGATCGAGATCTTGTTCTGGACATCGAATTCGTACTTCTTGAGGGTACCATAGTGCCACACATACATGATGATCATAAATACAAATGAGAGGATGACAGGTACCCAAGCTCCCTCAAGAAATTTAATTAGGGAAGCAGAGAAGTAAAGGGCCTCGATCGACCCAAAGAAGAAGATGAAGCATAAAGCCAAGAAAATACTCCTTCGCCAGCAGAGAACAATTACAAGGGACATCAGGCAGGTGGTGACAAGCATGACGGTTATAACTGCAAGACCTGTTTCATAAAAGATTTCTCAAGCATCAAATTAAATGCTAAAACTAGAAAATAAAAATAAAAAACAATGCATACAATCAATTGACACAACAAAAAAAGCTATCTTCCAATTACAAATGCTAGAATCTAATTAGCCTATACTTAACTCTTTCCTTTATGAAAAACGTGCTTCTTTCTTGCTTATTTTTTAAGTTAGCAAACCAAAAGACAGAAAATGGCTCACTAGATATCTTCAGCAGATCAGAACTCAACTAAATTTAAGCTTCCAAGGCTATAATTTCCAAAATTGAAAAGTTCATAATATGCATAACTGTGAAGAAATAAAGTTCCAAGGAAGTGCTTCTAGCTAAAACTTCAAATGGCAATCCACACAGGTTGTGCTCAAAAAACACAGCTCAACTCAAAAAGCTTTCTAAAATCAAGACGATTATGATTACAAGAGCTCCAAAATATGATGGAACAGATGGTTGGAAGTCTCTGGAAACTTGAGGTTATAAGGAAATCTATTAAATGAGATAAACAAGAGCAAAAGTCGCATACCAGCATCCAAAGCTGAAGTTTTTTAGAGAATCTTCTAATTGATTCACAACAAAATTATACAATCTAAAGGACTAAAAGTTCAATATTATGAGAACTTCCAATTCACAATTTCATACCTGAGGCATTTCCCATTCGCTTCGTATCTCTGAAACCAATAGTAATGGCCAAACATAATATCATCAAAATCCAGTTGATATCCGGGATGTATACTTGCCCATAGAATTTGGGTGATGTGTGTATTATCTTCACTCTAGGAAAGCATCCCAAAGCAGAACATTGTTTTATTATTGAAAAAGTACCAGTAATAACAGCTTGGCTTCCTACCACAGCAGCAAGTATAGCTATACCCAGAACAGGCCACCTTAATTTCTCTAAAAAGAAAACAAAATGTAGCTTATACATGCAATCATCATATGGAGAAATTATATGGAGAAAAATGATTACCTGGTACCGATACATAGAATCCAATTCGATAATCATTTTCATTAAAATGGTGCTGGGATAGATGTGCAGCTTGCCCCATATAAGCTAGAATCAATGATGGATAAACCACAAAGGTAAAAGCAATCTGCACAATGTAACGGCTCCTCAGGGATTGATGAAGGAATTCCTTAAGAAATAGGATTCTCCTATTGGAAGAAGAACAAGAAAAAAAAAAAAAAACTTGCGCATCTATTCACCAATCATCTGTTAAGGAATGTTTTGCAAAAATTTCATTAATTCTAACTATTGCAATAACTATTTGATTTATACTTGCTTCCCCTTATCAATGTACAACAACATCAAGCCTTTGTCCCACTACGTGGGGTCAACTACATGAATCCTTTTTCGCTATTGTGTCCTGTAAAAGTCAAATTCTCATTTAAATCTAATAAAGAAAGATCATTTCTAATATTTTCTAACCAAGTTTTTTTAGTTCTACCTCTACCTTATCAATGTACAACATTAAAAAAAAAGGATTGGAGAGGAGTCTATTCTCATACGAAAATCAAAACAATAAAAGTTTGACACATCTCATTTGTGAAAAAAAAAAAATGGTTGAATGAAAACAAATACTAGCTTAAATGCATTTTAAGTGTAAACTTATACAAAAAAAAAGTGTAAACTTATAGGACTTAGGTTTTGTTTGGGACGGCTTTCTTACTGCTTCTTAAAGTAGCTTTTTAGTACAAAAAAAATAATTTTTGTAATAGAAATATGCTTTAAGAAGTAATAAGAAAGCCGTCCTAAACAAAGACTAAGAAGATGACAATCTTGACAGCAGCAATTTTCAATTGCTAATTTATATGAAACATTTTTTGTTACACAATTGCTCCCCATAGGCCTTACCAAATAGCATGGCCTGTGGCTTCTGAACCTTTGCATTTTCCTCAAAGGTGATCACCACATACTCAGTCTTGATTTTATGTTGCTAAGCTAACATGTGAAGAGAGGGTGAGATGGGTTAAAAATTATTTTGAATTCAACACCGATAACTCCGATAAGTTTTGCTAGCCCTTCGAACATGATTGATTCCACTCATGTGAGCATTAATCATTCCATATTTCCATTAGGAGCAAAATCAACAATTAGAAGCAAATTGAAAGTATGAATTCAAAATGAAATATTAATGCTTAGCGCCCACACAGTGGGTAACTAGTCCACCCGCCATTCAAGATTCAATCACATCGATATATATCGAAGGAAAGAGACCAAAGTCTCTAGGAAAAAGGATGAACTCACTTCAATCAAACGAACCTTAGTTGCACGAACCATAATCTGCTAGATGACTGCATCATTGGCATAATTCAGCAACAATTGATTCAACAAGAACAACCATTAGATATAACTTGGCATGGATGAGCCAATTCCGCAATCATCGAAGTCAATAAGCTCCACTTGGCCAACAAGTCAGCTTGCCTCCAAGTAGAAAGCAAATCAAAGCAGGTCAAATGGGAAGTAGAAAAGACGTGAATAATCTAGTGAGATCCACAATCTAGGCACTTTTGCATTGCTCAATCATGAAAAAATGCAACTCACAAATGACCATAAGGAATTCCACTCATTCAATGCAGTGACACCCAGTTGAAGCAGAGGCCAGCATGTGTCCTTTATAGTTTGAGCAACTATTAATACATACAACAAAACCTAGACTGTTGTCGGAATATCCATTCTAAATGCCCTGCTTGTGCAGGAGATAAGCCAAAATAAGTCAGAGAAAGCCAAATGAATGTAATTAAGGGATGCTTTTTTAGCTCCCTGAAAACCTTGGAGAGATTATTCAACCCATTGGTGAGTCTTCATTTGACAAAGAGTCCGATTACAAAGAAACCATCTTCCAAACCCCACTTCTCTCGATAGATTACGGAGACTTAGAACGACAAACTTTGGCATTCACAAGTCACACATAATTTTTCACAAAGATGAGAAACAAAAGCCAAATTGACTAGTTAGAATAGCCAAAACTGTAATGTCCGTCATCAAATTCAAGTAATTTTTTGTAACTAATCATCAATTTTAAATTAATTAGTACTTGTAAGTCTTCGAATGTTGAATGAGATAGAAAATAATCAAGATTTGGGTTGAAAAAGTAAAAAAAATCCAAGTTAGGATTTTGTTTGTGGGCCTCGTGGCTAGAAGTGTCAAAATGGGTAATTGGGTGGGATTCGATTCAAACTCAGAATTGACCCGGGTCTAATTCAGCTGAACCGAACCCGACCCGATTTTGCAAACAAGTCAGAAATTTAGACAAGGACCCGACCCACTAACATGGAGAAGGGAATAGAGTGAGTGCGTGTAGGGCATGCGGGCGAAGGGGGTGTGACACTGTGCGGGCGAATGGAGCTTGAGCGGACGAGAGCGCATGCGGGCTAAGGGGACTCCAACGGGAGAGGCGGTGAGCGCATGCAGGGTGCAGGAGAGCACGACATGCGTGAGAGCGGGCGAGGGTGCGGTCGTACGGGTGCTGACGCGGCACAGGCGCGGTGTGTTCGCAAGGGTTCAGGTCCAGGTGCATTCTGTGCGGCATCTAGAAACTTCAGTGAAAATGTTTATGTGATTATAAAAATAAGTGTTAGCCTCGAGATCAGGTATACATACTGAAATATAATAAATCTTTGTTTGGCTTATGCTTTATGTATTCTAAAGGCATTTATGTTTTTCTCTAATTAATTGCTTTCAAACTAATTACTTTTAATATATATAAATTGAGTTTTGATATCTAAGAGGGGTAAATGAAAAGTCTACTGAATTAGTTGATCTAACTCAATTCATTTAATGTTTCAAGAAAAGTCAAAGGTCCTATCGAGTAGATAAGGTGTAGAGGCAGATTTTGGGATCCAAATTGTTAAGGTATGATCTTGTAATCCAACATTTAATTATTTGGTGCATAAACTTTTATACTATGGATGATTGTAATTATGTTTGGGGTGAAATTAAAGTTGACTACACTATTTTATATTTTTGGGAGATTTAGTAGCTCCGGTTGTTATTATTTGTAGATAAAGTAGCTATTATAGGTTTAAGTGAATCCAATCCTTCAATTAGATCCTAAGGCGACATAAAAACAATCAGAAAATTTTCCTCCAATGCCAACTTTTTGGCTAGATTACTAATAGATTTCTGAGATTTTGATCACCTTACATTTTGATTTTTTGAAACATAAATTGTTGGTAAATTATAAAAAACTTTTTTAAGGTACTTTTTGCCAACTTAGGGCCTCCCACATGAGATAACTAAAACAAACCTACTTCAATGTCTTTTCTTTATCCCTAACTCGCTTATGCTCTCTCTCTCTCTCTCATGAGTAACCAGATAAGGGTTGGCCAAAGGCCACCTTGATGCCTATCTTGAATCCCTCTCCCATGTTACTTATCCCATATTGCTTCATTTCCTTCATGACTCTCTTTTTTCTATTTTCAACAATAACTATCCATTTATGGCCACCTCTTATGATAAGGAGTGTGGGGGTCAAACTTAGACCAAATACACTAGAGGTCAAACCCATTTTAAACCAAAAAGTAAAAGCTTATAAGTGCAACCCCTTCATATTTTTTATGCCAACTTATTTTCAACTGCCCAATGTCGGCCTAAACATAATTTTAAGGCGTCTTAGCAATCATTACATCATGTGAGAACTCTCTACACCTATCATCACTCTAATTCAAATTGAAGATTTTCAACATCAAATATGATGCACTAAGATCCCACTCAATCATATGGAGGCCATGCACAAGTCATACACTCATAAACCTTGCTCGGCCTTGGTAGAAAGGACCAAAGACCTATGAGAGACACAAACCACATTAATCCCTTGTAGTCTAACAAGAACTGACTCTGATACAACTTCATAAAGAGTGGACTACAGAGAGATCAAATTTAGAACAAATATACCAGTGGCTAAATCCATTTCAACCTGAAAACTTAGCCTTATGGGTGAAGGCCAACCACTTGGTATTTTTAAAACAACATATTTTTCAACAATTCAATGTATGACTAAACCCAAGTTGCATGTCTTAACATTTTAGACCTAATGTAAATTTCTATGGAGACAAATTAGATTTGGCATATAAAATTATAATATGAATTTATGTCAAATCAACCTAACTTTGCAACCTATAAATCTTATTCTCCTTTTATCTTACTTTCTCATAATATTTGTAAACTAAGGTACTCCTAAGGTTTTTATTTTTTTAATACTTGGAGAAAATTTAATTACAAATTCATACACACCATATGTCAGGCCTAAAACTCACAAACTTGTGGTTGGAGCTTAAGCTCCAAACAAGTAGGCTACGATGGGCTACATATCTAAGTTATTTATTTAAATATAATAAAAAATAATAAATTTTATGTGTATGTAATTACTTTTGATGATTAGATAAATTACACACATACACATTAATGACGTGTTCAACTATTTTGCATCCTTTTTTGTTTACAGGATATTACATTTCAATATTAAATTGCCTTGTTGGTGTCACTCGGTCTATTTTGAATTCATATATACTTAATAAAAAAAAGTAATGGTAATATCAACTTCCTTCAAGCTTATTGTTAAAGGCACATACTTCAGTAAATCCCAAGAATACATAAATTTATCTATAAGATAAGAAAACCATAGAAAATAATAAATAGTTTCCTTACATTTATAGAAAACTGAGAGAAATGTCCCAAATCTGCAAACATTGCCTCAGAACCTACAAATTGTTGAAGAAAATTAGAATACTAAAATAATGTAGAAATTGAGTTGAAATTACTCACAATCTACAATACCTGTAATGCATAATAGGATTCCACCCAAGGACATCCATCCACCCTTTTGTGTCTTCTTCAAAAACTTATACATGTAGTAAGGAGACAATGCTTGATATATCTTTGGATTCCAATAGAAAATATTATAGATACCGATCATGCTGATAGATAAGAGCCATGTTATAACAATTGGTGCAAATAGGAATCCTACTCGGTGAGTACCAAAATGTTGTAGTGCAAACAAGCAAATCAATATGACACAAGCAATAGGAACCTCGACATCTGCAAAAAGAAAATAATAATAATTGAGCACATGATAACAACATTATAGCATAACCATGTTAAATGAAATATCCACTATAGACCAATAACGCTTTCCTCAAAAAATCAAAACAAATAAATCTGCATTGAAAATGGTAATAGAAGGCATAACCAAGACCATTTGTAGTGTTCTGTGGCCTTCTCTGTTTATGACTGATATTAACAACAACATATTCTCAAAAGAAATTGGAATACATGAAGTTTCTCTCACATCTTTTATCCCTACATAGAAACCTTCCAATCTTTTGGTGCATGACAGATAATTCAATTTAGGCTTCGTTTGGGACGGCTTTTTTATTACTTCTTAAAACGGAGTTTTAGTACAAAATTTTCAATTGTTGTACTAAAACTCTATTTTAAGAAGCAATAAAAAAACATTCTCAAACGAAGCCTTAGTCTCCATATCAGAAGCAAAAGGACAGCAAGATCATGGTAATGAGGAACATGAGCCTTAGATAACAGTCGAAAAAAAAACCCAAATGTCTTGATCCCGACAACAGAGTTGATTTTTATCATGCACTGATAATTTTAACAAGCAAGTTTATCCATAAAATTATTTGCATAGCCAATTAACAAGCAAGATCAAAACGAGAAAGGGGGATTTATATTCTTTGATATGGAGTCTGATTCAAAATCTTGCAGGAAGGGAAATCAATTTGTTTCAAAGAAAATGGTGTACTTGAATATAGATGGCCCAGCCAAATGTGCTCGGCAGAATGCATCCATTTCTTGCTTGAGGAAGACATGACTATGGAACAACTGATACAACCAAGATCACTATTATTAGTTTATCTTTGTGGATTCTCCATAGATGACATCCACTAGGACAAATCAACTTTTATAAAGTGTAAATCACTATGAAACAAAACTGTATTAATATATAATTAAATGAATAGTTGTCATCTATAAGTTCTGTAAACCATTTCAAATCCAAAATACTGTTGATATGAGATGTTGACAGCAGAGAACGAGTTCTATTCACACTTCAACGGTAGAATCTAACGAAGAGAATAAACTTGAAAATGTCAATATTTCATATTCTTAATTAGAGTAAGTTCTGGGAAAATATTTACATGCATTAATTGCTCAGAAAACAGTACTTTCAAATCAAAATCTCATCATCATTAGCCATATCATAACTGTTTGGGGTTTGGCTTTCGAATTTTCATTCTCCTTTTGTTCCTCTTTGAGAATCTCAAATTAATTTACACGAATCTTTTTGCACAACCATTATCCTTGTTACCATTTGTCTAACCTTCTTTCTCCCTAAAGTTTTCAACGCTAATTAACGGAGGAAAATCAGGAGTTTATCTTCAAACCAGGTTAAAATTCAAAAGAGAATTGAAAATGTTTTCCACAACCAAAGTCGCAATCAGTCAAAAAAATTGAAAGGCCAACAAGAAAGAAGCAAATAGAAGCCAACTTCAGTATATGACCAATCAAAATCAAATGATTTCCAATTTACGTATGAAACATTAGCGGTAAGAACAAGGAACCAAATTTAACACGGCCAACAAAACTAAGCACTGTATATTTCACTTTTTAATCTCATAATTCCTGTCGGCAAACCATCGAATAGACTATTTATGCTCAATGATCCATATTCGAATAGAATATATGTAGCAAAGATAAATATAACTTAAAGTCAAAAACTTTAAGTAAAAAAGAAACAAATAAATGAAGAGCAAGATTGAAAATTAGATGTCCCTTACATTTATGATGCTCCTTTGCCATTGAAAGTTCCAGCCCAGAGATAGCCGAAAAAACTAACAAATAGAAGCATCATTAAAAGCATAATTCAATATGATCAAACAGGATAAAATTAGGGGAAAAACAGTAAAGCAAACTAGAAATTCAAACTACCAGAAAGTGCAGGGGTGAATACACCATCACCAATAACCATGCAAGTCCCAATTAAAGCAAGAATCAGGAGAAGTCGCTGGAGCACCTGGTGTTTCTCCAGCAATCTCTTGACTTTCAACGGGGCCGCGGCTGGACGGCCACCGCTGCCGGCCCCTCCATCAATCGACTCTTCGCCGCTGCGACTCAGACTGTCAGTCTTCTTGTAAGCTGAGAGTTCCTCGTCTGCAAGCTGACCATTTGGAAGAAACCCAACTCGGGCGTGCCGGCAAAGAAGAGAGTAGAGAGCAAAGGTCCCTCCTTCGCCATTGTCGTTGGCTCTGAGGACTATGAAGACGTATTTTAGGAGAGGAATGAGAGTTAAAGTCCAAAACACAAAGGAGAAAACTCCATAGATCTCTTCATTTGTCTCAGAATGCTTAATATCTTCCGCGAAGGTACTCTTGTAGACGTAAAGAGGGGAAGTGCTCAGGTCGCCGTAAACCACGCCAAGGCTCTGGTACGCGAGCGTGAGAACCGTACGCCATGATTCTCTCTGCAACCCAAACAAAAATCTTTTTTACGCAGTTCGAAATCAAATGATAAGAAAACAAGGAAAAAAGAGGTAAATCCCAGTTCACTCACCTTAAAGGTGTTCAAGTGAGTCCCGCCCTCAAGATCCATGGACAAGGGATCAAAACCTTAACAAAAACATGTATTTTTACCAGAAAGGTGAGCTTCGACGGAAATTATGATAAGAGAAGGAGAATTGAATCTTCCTAACAAAGCTGGAGTTTTTAGAAGTGGGATGCAAGTGTAATGGGAAGATTCTTCTTTGTATGACTGCTCGCTCTCTCCAGAAACCAAAGTATGGATTCAAGGAAAAAGCTCCGGTTTTTCAGGTACGGGCTGTATTGCATGGTAGAGAAGAAACCGTCCGCTCTTTTCTGATATAGATAATAAAGAGAAGAAACTATTCCTGCCCTTCTGGGTTGTTCTGCGAAGGACGACGATTACCTACCTACCTTAACCTTGATTTTGGTCACCATATTTTTAAAATAAATTCAACCGTTTTAGAATTTATCATGATAAAAACTGAAAATTTATAGACATACTTCGTAGAATTCTTTATATTTATATATATAATACGTCTTAAATCAATTTTTTTCTCTTAGTTCTCCAAATAAAACTATCACTTCATACTCAAATTAAATTCTAACATGCTAATAATAAAAAAATCATATTTTTATGCACAGCACTCTGAAAAATAACTTAGCTTATTATTTTGTAAATGAATTCATTCAATATTTTAAACAACAATAATAGCTTAAGAAGCAAAGAGAAAGGTGGGATGGTGGGGTGGGAAAGGCCAGTGAATTGCAAAGGGGAAGGGAAAAGAAAAAGGTGCAGTTTTTTACTTTTTCAAATTGGGAGAGAAGGATATTTGAATTGCTAGTGAAGAAGATGGAGCTTTTGGGCCACCCACGTGGCTGTGGGTGCCGTTGTGAGTGCAAGATGATGGCCCAATTTTGTAAATTAGAAAGTGATAGATTAGTGCTCCTTTGGCACTACAAAATGGGTAGGGCACCCACTTATCAATGCTTGGGTTTCAGATCTTTTTATTTTATTAATTTTTTTTATTAAAATTGAATGCCAAAATTCAAATATGGGGGATTTATATATATTCCAACTTATTTCATATTATTTACATATCTAATACTTAAAAGTTTAATATTACATTCCTATTACTCATATAAAATTTTAATATCAAATATATTACTCTTATATTTCATTTTTACCACCCTATAAATTTTAATATTTCATTTCATGCACTCATATTTGTTCTATGAATGATAGACAAGAGCAAACTTTAGAATTTAGAAATGATTGGTGTGTACTCTATATTTTGTAAGCCATGACTATGACTTTTATGTAGATTGTGGATCAAATGCTCTCTCACCTTATCATGTAGATAGATTTGGTTGAAGTCTGAGTCATATAATTTTTTTTGTCTTCTTGATTATATTTTATGTTTTCCTCAATGTTTATTTACAGCGCATCTAGATCTTTTTTATACTTCCACTTCAACTTTAGTCTGGAACGACTTTCTTACTGTTTCATAAAGCAGTTTTTTAGTACAAAAATTAAAATTTTTATACTATAAATCTGTTTTAAGAAACATAAAGAAGGTATCCCAAATGAAGCCTAAGGCTGAATTTCTTTCTGCTTTGTAAAGCTATTTTTTAGTACAAAAATCTCTTAAAAGCACAAAAAAAGCAATAATCTAAAGCTGTCCGAAACGAAGCCTAATTAATTTTGAACTTTGGAGAACTAAGATCATTTTAATGATCTAATTTGTTTGGTATTGGCATTTGAAGTTACAACAAAAAATTATTGTGGTTTAAGCTTGTTGCGTCCAAGAGAATTCGCGGCGGTAGAGAAATATAAAATTTGACGTCTTAGCATTGTACGAAAATCCGGCACGCAATCAGATAAGAGAGTGTGTAGCATTCATAGGAGACACCAATATTTTTACGTGGAAAACCCCTAAAAAGGGGGAAAAACCATGAGGCCTTGCCCAGTTTGAATGAATCCACTAGTATTGCAGTTGATTACAAATGAGGTCCTTCCTTGGGAGAATGCCTTAACTTGATGTTCATTTTATAGGGTACATTACATGATGTGAATACAAAGAATAACTATTGACGTGTTCGTTTGGTCGGGAGGACCATAGTCTGGTGACAGAGGTCATAAAGATTGTAGTATGCGGATGACGTAAGTTAAGAGGATCGTAGTCGGCTGGCGATGGAGGTCGAAAGGACTATAGTAGGTGGCGACGTAAGTCAGAAGGATCGTAGTTGGTGGGCGACATAAGTCAGGAGGATCGCGGTCGGCCGGAAGTATTGTTGTCTCGCGACAGAGGTCGGAAGGACTGTGTCTGCCGATGATGGTGAAAAGGACGGCGTCAAGTAGAAGTCCAATAATGTAAAGAATTCCATCTTCGGATATACGTCCAGCAAAAGTCTGATGATTGGTAGAAGTCCGACGTCGGGTAGAAACTTGGCGAAGACTGAAGGTCCAGCGCGTGTAGAAGTCCGACATCTGTTGGTGGCCGAGGAGAACTCCGGCATCACTTGGGCGGAGTTTCAGCGTCAGGAGGGAACTCTGTCGTTGATTGAGAAGAATTTCAGCATTCCGTGGAAGTTAGGAAGAATTCTGGCGTCCCGTGGATGTCGGGCAGAATTCCGGCGTCATTTGGAGTTCGGGCGAAACTCCGGCGGTGGTCGAGGAGGAGCTGATTCTCCTTCCCCTTCTCTTCTTCTTCTCGCTTGGGTCCTCTCTTATGAGAAATGAGGGGTCTATTTATAATTTTTCTGGAGTGGCATGGCTTGTAAATAGGTGCGAGATCAGGAGCGAACAGGAAGTGGTTGAATGGACGGCTGATATTAAATCCCTTGATCATGCACCGTTCGTTGGATATTTGAAGGCCTTAGTGATGTCGGAATTCGGCAATCTTGGGCTCGTTGGATTCGTCTCTCGAGCCACTCGATTCGACTATAAGCTAGCTCGTTAAAATCGGAGACCGTTTGATAACTCAAATTGTGGTACAAACTTTCCAGCAACACTTCGGGTGCTCGATTTGGGCTCAGATTGAGTTGAATTTGGTGTCGTTGGGTTCGTATTTCTGAGACACTCAGTTTGACTATAAGCTTGCTAAAATCAGAGTTCATGTGCTCCGGAATTTAATTTTTGAAGTTTCCAATTTGATTTTTGCCTCGAGATTCGTGCCCGATCAAGATAATTTTTGCATGACGTATCAAAGCTGGAGCATCATATATTTGAAAATCAAGGAAGAGTTGACTACTTTCTATAAAAGAAATTTTTGAAATAAAATTAGGAACGAAATGATTGGAGGACATCAAGAGGTATGTATATGGATCATGTTTGCATTACATAGTATGTCCCTAATATTTCATTGTATGGTTATAGCATTCATGACAAAGATACAGCCAATTTAAAGATTTGTATCATTATGAATAGCCTTTATTTTTATTGCACATCAACGAAAAAAATATTCATTTAATTTATTTTATATAATTTGAGTTTATTACTTCTAAAAGGATATATCTAAGTTGCTAACTATGTATTTGTTTCAAGCAACTTACTTATTGTTTTATTTTTTATATCATTGTCAGGCATCCATTTGGTTATTGTTTTCTTATAACTTTTTTATATTTATTGGTGGGAAAAATATGTCAAAGTGTAATAGTTCTAAGAAAGCTGAAGTTATAACCTAAAAAATTATTAAAAAAAAATTAAATATAATTTTGCAAATTTTGAAATTTTGAACTAGAGAGTTGCAACGTTGCATGTACTTGTGGGCACAACAAATAATCAAAGCTGACTAATTGCATTAAAAAAATCCAAACAAAGATCAATATAATTATATTATTATAGTCAATATTTACATCCTGATTTAAAGCCCAAAATTTTCAAAATAATAAATACAATAGTCATAATAGGCTACAAAAGAATATATAAAATCAAAGAGCTTAAAATACGACTTAACTATCATTACTGTCTAGTCTCACTCTATAGACTCCTCACATTTACAAAAAAATTATGCATATAATGAGCACATAGCCCAATAAGTAAATAAAATTTATCACTATATTCAATATAAGACAAAATAATTAATATGCTTGCTCCAGTTCCAATCAATGTCAATCAACAGTCAATAACCTATCAGTATAAGCAATAAGCAAGAAGCAATCTTTAAAATTAATATCAATCAATAGGAAAACTAATATGACTAGTAAAATAAAAAAAGGCTACCAACTATAAGAAAATTTGATTAAAAGGACTATCAATCAATGGATCATATCAATATACTTATCAATTATGAACTACATCATTATGTCCATCAATGTCTATCAATATTCCGGTCAAATTCAATTCGTATCAATACAAGTTCTATTAATTCTACTTCAATTATATCTATCAATAAATTCATGAATGCTGTTATGAATAGTAATGCATAATATTCATCTTTAATGTGGCATTTTCAACATCTTCCATATCAATTTCAACTAATTGGTCATCAGACTTTATCTTTCATTATTATTTATTTTCTTAAGTCAATTCATAGGCGGCTTTCGATAAGCAATGAAGAGTTCACTCTCTACCGTTGTTGTAATTCAATCAATCAGTTATATGCTACAATCAGAATTACTTCACAAACCATATTAATTTTAAAGGAAAGTATGTCGATCCACCCTCTTGTACAATGTATTATATTTTAAGAGCTAAATCATATTAATTATAGTATTAGCAGTCAGCCTTTCTTGCTTACATGCAAACGTCATGTTTATCTTGCATCTGTTATATCATTTTTTCTATACAACGTAAGTTAGTATCATGTATAAAATGCAATAATATATGAAATATAGAGAAATCTACAAAATTTGTATACTTTATATTAACTTCAAAAAATCCCAACTACCATTACCTGATGAAATTTAATAATATTACAATCAAAACATTAATTATTGTATTAGAGTTAGTCTTCCTTGCTTACATGCAAAAGTATTGTCATCCAAAATAAACTCTACACTTGTTTCATCAACAGAGCATTGATAAGCTAAGAATTTCAGAAGAATATCTTGTCAAAGTTAGTGATATGTTAGGTAAACAATGATGAATTATAAACTTTATAGTTGTGGCCTATTTATTGATGTAGAAAATGAATTGCATTAATGTTTTTTGTAGCACAATGAAAGACATCCACATAAAAATTTTCTGCCATTTGGATAACCAAAAAAGGAGGAATATGTCATTAATGACTTGGCAATCACATCTAAACTTACCCATATAGACAACCTCTAATTTACTTTCAGTTTATTGGATCTCCACGTGTCATGTTTTTAGTGGACATCATTAGAAAACATATTTTAGTGAAGAAGCCACTAGGGCTCATTCTTTTTTATTTTTTTTTTTTTTTGAATAAAAATATTAAATTATTATCTTAAATAAATATTTTGACAAAGTTATTTTTGAAATGAATGAATTGCATCATAAAATAACTTCGTGATAGCAACTTTGTATTCTTTGAGGCAAATAAAAGTTCTTTCTTATGCTTTTGGGACCATTTCATTTGACTATTTCCTTTAATAAAAAATAAAAAAATGAAGCTATTTTAGTTTTCACCATGTTAATGCAAAGCAATAAAAAAGGATGAAAGAGAAGGAATTTCATTTGACTATAATTTTTTTTTATGATAATTAAGTTGTCTTAAAG